CGAGTTGGTTGTTTTAGAAACCATTTTTTGCCGCCATATATGTGTGTGCGCACGCGCCATACACACACACACACACACACACACACACACACACACACACACACATCCTGAAGAGCGGTGCGCTTTCCTTCCACAGAGCCCGTGTTTTGCTTCCACAGACCCCACTTCTGGAGGTATATCAACCTTCCCGAGGCATCCAGATGAATGTTATTTTGGTTGTTATTTTGTTTCACTGATGCAGGGTTGCTTTGGGACACCAGGGGGCGGCACCCACAGATTCTGTTTATCCTTGGAGTACCAGAAATTCCACAGGCAATTTCAGTTGCCTTCTAAGTGATGTGCTGCCTATGCATTAGGACTATAGAGGTTGCTGAGGCTTGGATATAACAACATTTTTCGAGAACCTACTATTTCCAAATAGTCCAAGAAATGGAGGTACAAAAATGGCAATGATGCCTTCTGTGACTACAGTCTGAGGGGAAGACCCGAGACACACGGGTAGCTGCAATACTGCCGACACACCTTCCACACCGCCTCATATAATCCCTGTCTACACCGTAGGCAGTAGTATTGCCGTCCTAATTTGAGAGATGAGCAAACTGAGCTGTAGGGAGCAAAGCCGCATGAAAGGCAACATGAGGTAACCAACACCCGGGGTTCAAGTCCCTGGCTCTGAGGTCACACGAAGCAGATGGCTCTAGCCGGCGCTTTTGGTTGCCTTCAAGATGGTGGGTCCCAAAAGGTACGTCCACGTTCTAACCCCAAGTGAGTATCGTCTTATAAGGCAAAAGATGTGGTTGAGTTAAGGATCTTGAGGCAGTGGGTCACTCGGCTCAGCCTTCAACTAGCGGCCTGGAGGACTCGGCTGCGCTGGGTGTCCATGGGAGGGAGCACGGCCGGCCCAGCATCGGGCCCCTGCTGCAAGGTCGTGTCACGACGTCCCGCTCGAGGGGCCCAGTGTTGACCAGCGTCATGGTGACCACGTCGATTGACCAGCGTCATGGTGACCACGTCGAGCAGGAAGGAGTGTCATTTCCTTAGAGGTTCTCCCTCGATCTGCCACCGATCCCTGGCCTCTGGCGCACTGTTTCTGAGCTGCACCTGCAGCAGGAGCAGCACCGGAGGCGCAGTGGGAGGCGAACCCGGTGTCAGTTCGTACCCCCGGGGGGCCGCAGCCCCTCACCCTTGCCCCACGCAGGGGCACCCGGGAGGCACTGAAAGACCGAATGCCTGACTGAGGAATCCTGTTGCTGGTTCCTGGGACTTATAAAGCCCCTCCCTCACTGCCCTTCAGTTGGACGGGAGCCCCTGGTCAGCCCGCGGGGCTGTGGGGCCCCAGGGGGAACGTGCAAGAAAGAGGTGCTTTAAGAGGTGCTTTCAGCTACGCAAACATTCAGCCTGCGGCTCTGGGGGATTTGGCTTTTCCGGACTGTCAAGGCCCGGACACAAAATACGCATTGTGGCTCCAAGGTGTGTGTGGACTTTTATGGAATTCTGTAGATGGTGTTTGCAAGTGCCACGGAGGGAAGGCGACATCTCACCCAGTAAAACCGGAGCCTCCGGAACTGCTTTGGTAAGAGAGGCATGTGCGCGTGGCCCGGTGTTAAAGAGAATTCCAAGTAGCCAAGAATGTTTACTAGTAAAATACACACAGGTCTTCAAAGAACCCATCAGTGAAAAGTTTGAACATAAGGGTGTGAAGCAGTGAGCCGTGGAGGAGGGGCCTGAAGGGGGTGGCTGGACCGGGGCTGGGGGAGGAGCACGTGTGGGGAGCTGGGGGGGGGTGGCCCAAGGGCCAGATTTCAGCATCAGGGTTTTGCAAAGGACACTCCGCTTGTTCCATAGCTGAGGGTCCCTGAAGGGTGTGGGCGCGGTCAGAGCGCAATCAGATCCGGTTTTAGGGAGCACCGCTTGAGCAGTGAGGAGGGGAGACGGGCAGAGACGTGACGTAGTGGAGAACGCTGACAGCCCCCAGGAGCGCCTACCACGGAGGGGTGGGAGGTGGGGGGGTAGGAATGGGTTAAAAACTAAGGAGGAAAAACAGATGTGTAGCCAAAATTGTAAAATTAGACAGAGTTTAGGATACAGAGAGAACAAGCGAAGGAAACAAATATGAAGGTATTACAGGGTTTGGTGTCTGCGCTAGCCTAGTGCACGGGGCCTGGGGAGACCCCAGCATTCGGTGTAACAAGGTACCCCAAACCTGAGGGGAGGCTGAAGGGCCCACTCTGGCCTGACGAGCTACGGGGGGCAAGTGTGCATGTTTCCATCCTGAAACGTTTGAGGCTCTGGGGACGTATAAAGGTTACATTTCAGGTGGGGGGGGGGGTCCAAGCTGTGAGGGGCCCAAGTCTTGGCAGTTTTTGGAGTTTTCTGTAAGAAAGGGAATAATAGCCAGTGCAGCGCTGGGCCTTGGGGTCTGACAGTGAGGGACCCTGCACTTAATTAAGCTTCGCTGACTTCTGCATAAATGTGCCCGTGCGTGGTGGCAGGTGGCCAGCCCTGTCCCCCCCCACTCTTCCCCCGGCCTGGGATCGTGTCCGTGACCAAGCCCACAAAGCTCCCCTCCTGCACGAGGTACCTTCTCCCCAGAAGTGGGCTGACCTTCCCCTGGACTCTTTCACAGACTTTGCTGCATAGGTACGTGTTGCAAAGCGGTACTTTATTGACTTTTGCGTGTTTCTGGGCTTCACGTACACGATGTCTGATGTACGTGGCTGGTGTTGGTTCCTTTCCCTCCTCCTCATCTAAATAGAGGTGGCCCCCACTTCACATGGCGCCTTGACCTGTGCTCACGTGGGCACCGTGTCCTCTGCTTACACGGTGCCGAGCTGTCGGTTCATCCAGGCTGCTCTAACAAAATGGCACAAACACACTTATTGATCCCCTTCCTGCAGGCTGGGAGTCCGAGATCAGGGGGCCAGGGGGGCCCAGGGAGGGGCAGACTTCTCGCTGTGTCCTCACGTGGCGGAGGAGTCTGGGAAGCTGTCCGCGGTCTCTTAGAAAAACACTAATCCTGGGGCGCCTGGGTGGTTCAGTTGTTAAGCATCCAACTTCAGCTCAGGTCATCACCTCAGTTTGTGGGTTCGAGCCCCACGTCAGGCTCTGTGCTGACAGCTCAGAGCCTGGAACCTGCTTCGGATTCTGTGTCTCCCTCTCTCTCTGCCCCACCCATGCTTGTGCTCTGTCTCTGTCTCTAAATAATAAACAATAAAAGAAATATTAAAAAAAAAAAAGAAAAAGAACACTAATTCCATTCATGGGGCCCACACCCTCACGGCCTAATTGACCCCCAAAGTCCCATGGGCTACCCAGCAGTTGCCGCTGGACCCCGTCCCCGGTGGCAGGGAAGGGACCTGGGCTCCAGTCACTTTCTTACCGGTTTACACGTTTACCAGTCTGGCAGATGGAAGCCGGTAGCCCACACTGCGTGTTCTTCACTTCAGTGAGGCCCAAAGGAGTCTCAGAATTTCGCTGGCTCCACGTGCTCTCCTGTGTGTGGAGAGCCGTCCCGGGCTTCTGCCTGAGTGCACTAGCTGTGCTGCTTGCTCGCTCGCTCGCTCGCTGCTGGGAGATCTTGGTATGTTCTGGAACGTAACGCTTTCTTGGCTATGCGTGCCAGAAAGTTTTGTCACTAGTGGCTTTTCTTCTGATTAAACTCTTCATCTTAAAAATCAACCTTTTTCAGCACGGTTTCTAATCTTGCATCTTGTGAAACCCTGTCCAACAGTCACAAGGTCGATCTAAGTTGTACGGTGTTAACCTACCCGGGTCGAGATCCCACTCCGTCTTCCCACCTGGGAACCAGCGCCCCGGCGCTGTTGGCTGAATACGGACACTTCCTGGAGGAGGACCGGCTGCCACATGTGCGGGCCGTCTGGGTCCACGGCCGCGCGGAAGCCACACGGGGTCGCTCACCGCAGCTTTGCGGCGAGCGCGGCCATCAGCGGGCACGGCCTCCCGGATCGCCTGCGGCCCAGCGGCCTCGCACGCGTGCAGCCCGTTCCCGCGCCCCCGGATCGCACGTGTGCTCGGCTGACCATCTTATACACTTGCTGAGTCTGGTCTCACCTTGGCCTCTGCTCCCTGCTCGGCCCCCTCCCCTCTCCTCCGGCTGCTCTTCCAGACCTTGACCCCCAGCCCCACTCTGAGCATTTCCACAACTGCTGACAGACTCGGGCTGACCGGCTGGGGACACTCCGACTTGTCCCCGGCACAGACCTCCCTGCCTGCGCCGCCGTCCTGCCTCCCTCCTTTTCTGCTCTGAATCCAGCCCCAGGGGCCTTCCTGTAACCCTGGCCCTCCTCTTCCCTGCACCTCAGTCTTCTCCTTGGCCTCCTTTTCGTTTCTACGTCCCCAGATTTCTTTCATCTTTAACAATACAAGAAAAGTATGCTAAAACAAGTTCGAAATTCCAAGCAGAATCAGAAACCCTTTTGGTAGTGTCTGTCAAGCATTCTAGGGAAGGAGGGGGTGTGGGGCGGCAAGCCCTCTCCTCTGCCCCGCACTCGCCCCTGCACAACTCCCTCACCCCATCGGCCTCAGCTGCTTCCTCCCTGCGGGGCCCCTATGTCTCCAGATCGTCCGTATTTATTCAGATAAAACGGAACCGTCATCCCGCAGAAGGGCATTCTACACACGCTGCTCAGGTAGTTAGGTGAGCTCGTTCGGAAGGGCGTGGGGACACGCCACGATGCCATCTGTTGTCGGGTGCCCGCGCCTGCCTCTCCTCCGGTCGTCCTAACCAGCCAGGGCAGTGGGAGCTGACGTGGCCGTGACACCCGGTGAGGGCCAGTCCCCCTGGCCCCTCCCACTGCACAGACAGCGATCCGGCTCGTGGCGGGACTACGGCGTAGCCCACGTTACTCCCTGTCCGTAGCAGTCGTCCAGAGCGTGCCACGCGCACCTGTCAGCTGAACCAGGGACAGTCCTCAAATGTTTCCACGTGTTCATTTCAGGTTTCCGAAGTACACGGAAGGATGCTGCTTCTGACATCTTTTTTAGTTTTGGCTTTATTTCATAGATTTTACAAAGTCCTATGACATAAAAGCATAAAATACTGAATTTTTTTCTTATTTACATGGTGTAAAGTGTTTAATAACAAAAATTTCTTATCGTGAAAGATGATGTTCATCAGAGCAGAAATACTGTCCACGACTGATTCGGAGAGAACATAAAATATGTTCTATTTCATGATTTTGCCGTCTACACTTCAGTGTGTCTAAATGCAACTACTACCGTTACACTCACTCTTATGAGCTACATGCTCTTTCGTGTCTTACTCTATAGACTCGGGAGGAGAGCAGGGTCTAGACCAGCCTGTGGGTGTGAGCGCTTCCGCATCCGCCAGGAACCCGCGACGCCGAGCCCCGCAGTCCCTCAGGACCGATTGTCTTCGATGACAATAGTTCTTCCAGGGAAGGGCTCGAGCTCAACAAATATGTATCGAAATTCATATTCGCCACTTTCCGGGTTCTGAAAAACAAACATACTTCCAGATGTTACTTCTGTCCCCAGCGCCTATGACCCACTGCATCTGGGCCCTGCGTCCCGCACGGTCCCCCCTGCGGTCCCCACACCTCTTTCACTTCAAGATGCACCGTTCCTTGCTTCCCTGGCTCGGAGCCCTGGATGTAGAACTTCACGCGCATGTGTTTCAGCCCGTCCTTGGCATACTCGATGAAGCTGTCGGGAAAATGAAAGCGCGCAGCCTAAGTTCCCTGCGTCTAGAAAGCACCTGAGCTCTCCGCGTGTGAGCGGCCCGCAGTACCTGACGTGCTGCCTTCGCCCACGGCGCGTCATCTCCCCGTAGCCCTTCACGGGCTCGCCGAAGACACTGATCACCTGTGGGACACACGTGCTGTGAGGACGCCTTCCGGTGCGCTTCCCGGGGAAATGTTTGTTTGACAAATCAAGTCACTTTTTGAGAAAAAGAAATCATTAAACCTGCGGCCCTTTCAAAATGACAACTCCAACAATGAGAAAATGGGGGAAAAATTCTGCAAAATCCTCCCACAAAGAGACGGAAACGAGACTTCACGGAGTGACCTGTAGTTACGGAGCCACACTGCTCCTCCCTCCCTCAGAAAATCCAAACAGTGAAGGCTCAAATGGTTGAACATTTTTAGTGAAAGTTATCTAATGGGGTCTAATACTAAAAGCTACAAGAGCAAAATGATTTCTTGAGGCACTAGACCCAGTGAACTAAACCAAGCACAACTTTCAGCAGCTCCCCGGAAGTTCGCTTCACCACTTCGCTTTTGAGAAAGACCTATGTGAACACCTGTTCTGCTGAGAAAAATCCAAAGGATTCTGGCGTTTATAAAACGGTAGCTGCTTCCTCACTTTCTGCTGGTCTGTCTTATCAAAAGTTACACAGGAGTGTGGCTCTTAGAGAGCAGGGGACACCTGTAACTACGATCTGTTTACAACAAACCAGACCCCGTAACAACGATCTGTTTACAACAAGCCAGACCTAGAGGCACGGAACAATGATTCCGAATGGGAAAACGCACAATGAAGTGGAAATGTAGTTTTTACTGAACTTAAAGTGCAAATACTTAGGAGCCTTTCCAAAAAGAGAACTAGAATTGGAACCTTCCTTACTCCCCCCGAGCAGGGGACAGAACTACGCAGCGCTGTGTCTCCCTGCCTCCTCCTCCACTGTTCTCGCAGACCCAAGTCCAAGTATGAGAAGCCCACAGGGTTAAAAGAGAGATGCCAGAGCCCGTTAGCCTGAGGCCTCCTCCCCGACAGGATTGGAGAAACCGGGGGAGCAAGTGGAGTGGGGGCTCCAGGGAAGCCCGTCAGGGTGGCTTCACATCTGCCCCCCGACTGGGCGGCGCGTGCTCTGTCGTGGGCGTCACTCCTGGTCTGTGTGTGAAACCACCCTGATGGTTACGGTGCTCTCTGCCATTTGCCTTCCCGGGGCAGGACTAAGATTTCAATGAGTGATATTTTTCAATGCTGAAGCTTCCCACCCAGGGGTAGGAAATCCAGCACTTCCCAGGCTTTCTATCTGTGACTGGAGAGCATCACAGAAAGCCCTCTTTCTGCACAGGACCCCAGCAGAACCGAGGCAACTTTTCCACACTCTGCCGCCTCCAGGGAATGCTTTAGAGCAGGCTGTGCTTACGTGCAGAGGCTCTGGAGTCAGACCTGCGCTCAGGTCCTGCCTGGCCCACTTCCTGCTCAGCGATCTTAGTGGAGCTGCCTAATCTCAGAAGTGCTGGTCTGGTCTCCCCTTCTGGAAACAGGGTAACACTCTCTACCACACTTGGTTTTTGTGAGACCCAAGAGACGATGTGCTGAGCATAGTGCCTGGTGCCTAATGTGCCTTTAGTAACTGTCAAAAATCCTTATGATTGGGAGATCAGGAATCAGGCTTTTTAAATTTCTAAATTTTAAATTTTAAATTTCTAAAGACTAGAAATTTATCGCCTAATTTTAATACTATGGTCAGGGTAAGCATGTAATGTCTATGGCAACTAGTAAAGTGCCTCTCCTGCATAATTAGGACAAAATCACCTCTACAGACCTTTGCGGGGGGCGGTTCTTAAAGCATGTCAAGTACAGAACAGAGAGCTAACAATCACAGGCCAACCACTGTGACTTTTTTTTTTAATCACACAAAGGCCACTAGGCTCAGAACCAATGTGGGGTCCGCCCACCTCCACCCACCGACATTTTTTCCGGATCCTCAGAGCGTGTGTAACGTGATCCGGAGGACTCACCTCGGGGTGCGATCTGCATTTTTCTAAGGCCTTCCCGTAGATCTTACTAGGACTGGACGAAGAAAACAGTTCTCTGAAAATCGTGTAAAACAAGCCACCTGAAAATTGCAGAGAAAGGAGATCAAGCAAAGCAAAAGCAAGACAAAAGAGAAGCCATGACGGTTTGGGGGTGTTCTTGCTGTGTCCCACCTGTGATGCCGATTCCAAGCAGCACCACCACCAGGTAGCTGAAGTCCCTGCCGGCTTCTTTCACTGCAACGAGAAAGGGAAAGCGCCGCCCGCTCACGCATGCGCCCTGCGGGCTCGGGCGCCACCACTTCCGGGGGGCGAGCCTCGCGGCGACTCGCGACGCCCGCCGGGTCTCCTCGGGCTGCGGGCGCGCAGGATTCCGGTTCTGGGAGCCGGAACCACCTGAGCGAAGTCTGCGGAAGAACCTGGGCAGAATTCTGGGCCCGGGAGCCCGTATGTTTACTGTGTGTAGGATGAGCAGTCTGGTCCCTCCTTCCCCGCCAGGCCGGTGCCCGCTGGGCACCCCTGGGCGCGTCCCGGGCCCGCAGACGGAGCCGGGTGCCGCGGGGCCGGCCGCGCGCCCTGAACACAGAACAGGACCCGCCGCAGGAGGTGCTCGGCCACACGGATCTGTGAGCCAAACACCTTAGGAAACGGAGAATCTCCACAGACACTGCGCTTTGTGTTTTCCCCGCTGATAAAGGTGAGCGTGGGGACTAAACGCAAGCGCGGGGAGCGACACGAACCCGAGGGGTGACCCTGGGGCACGGCACGCACGCGCTGACGAGGGATCTACGCATACGTGAACGGGGTTTTGCCATCAGCGTCCCAACTGCACTTCACTGATGCTGCAAATGGGACTCACGGCCTGATGTCCCATTTATAGGTTAATTTACTGGCCACAGTAAGAACACAGGTTTCTGGAATATAAATTTACAGACGTTTTTTCAGAAAAACAAAACGTCAACAGTGGTTGTTGCTATTGTTTTCTCCACTCTCCCCTTCTGTACACTGAGCTGCTATTACTTTCACAAAATAACACTTCATTAAAAGCACTCTAACAAAGAGTAATCCTTTACTCTTCCAGTATAGATTCCTAACCGCAAAGATGGGATCCAACAAATAAAAAGACCATACCGGCCCAAACCTAAGTCATGGCTTGATCCCACCATCGCTGTCGGCACACAGTCCATGTCCCCAGCAAGGCTCGGCGTTAGAGAGGCCGGCAGCGACCTCTCATTTTATTACGGTCACAAGACACTTAACTGGAAGCGGGGGCTTCCATTGAGCGACACGTGTGCTCTGGCCAGGTTACAGCACAGCCGGGAGGAGGGGGGAAAGGACCACACCCAGGAGCTGGAGGCCCCACCAGCAGGGCTAGGAGAGCACATGTGCCACGGGGTCCTAAGGCCGGTATGAAGGGACGCAGAGCACAGCACCAGCGAGTGAGAGCTGATCAATACGGGAGCACTCTCCTGTGGTCACGGACTGACCAGTTTGGCAAGCACCCCGGAAGCTGCCGCACAGCTAGGTTCTCCGCTCCCGGACGCAGGGAGAGAGGACGGTCCACATTCCGTGAGGTGAGAATGAGAACTGCCGTGGCGAACCGTGGAGGCCAGGACGAAAAGGCTCAGGGGATGGGAGTGCGAGGATGGGGGCAGTAAAGGCCGAAACCCACCAGCCGACGGTCCTGTCGGAGGGCCTGGGGACACAGGATATCCTGATGGTCGGTCATGACATTTGAACCATCAGAAGCCAGGCGGGTGCCACCACCATGAGCGGCAAGGGCGGGGTGGCGGCCAGGGGTGTCTGGCCTGGCGATGACACTACCACGCGTGTACCCAAGGGCAAGACTGGTGGGCAGCTGACAAGGACATGGATCAATCTGGATAATCCTAAGGAATCAATTCTGGGTGGCCAGGAGGCTGCAGGCAGATGCCCCAATGCAAAGTCATGAAGAGACTGGCTCGGCTTCTGGACCTGAATAGGAGTCTACCCAGACCCCAGCAGGAGGGACCCGAGCACATACATAGATTCCCTGGGGCTTCAGCAAAGAGCCCCATAGTCATTAACTTGGTAAGCGTACCCTGGAGGAAGGGGAGCACCCAAACATTTCAGGGTCTGTTGGACAGAGTCTGAGATGACAGTGACACCCCTGGACCCAAAGTCATATGGCCCCTCTTTTAGGTTCATATAGTGGCCATGTAATAAAGAGAGAGACTTGTAAGAGGCTCGCAGCTGGGTCCACGGATTTACTTGGTGCTCATTTATTTATTCCCAGTGTGTAAATTCAATGGATATACTCGTAATCGACAACAACAGTTCCTGCCTTAGTTCCTTTGCGGGTGGGTTGAGAGTTACCATAACGGGAAAAGCTGAGTGGAAGCCTCTGAAACTGTAACCCTCCCCTTGACCAAGACTGTAAATCCAAAACAGTATTACGTCTGTGGGGGAATGGCAAGAGAGTGCTACCTTAAGAGCCAAAGATACAAACGAGGGGGTCACCACATATTCCCATGTAACTTACCAGTCTGCCCCTTATAAAAACCAGGCAGAACCTGGAATAGGACAGTGATCCACTAGAAATTCAACCACGTGGCCGTCCCAATACAGATGCCAGACGTGGTAAGCTTACAAGAGCACATTAACAGACTCAGGGCTTCGGCCACTGATCTGGAGAAGGGGCAGCGGCAGTGGTGTGCAGTGACGTGAAACACACAGCGGCGTGTATGTACAGTCCTGCCTAGGATGTTAGCTCTCCTACCCTGTTATAACGTAGCTTGAAGGGACGTGGACCATCCGGATTTGGGCTGTGCTGTACAGTAACCGCACGCCACACACGGCTGTTGGAATTTAATTTTAAAGTGAAGTTAACTTAAAATTAAATGAACACTCAGTTCTGTACTCACACTAGCAACATTTTAAGTGCTGAACAGCCACACGCAGCTAGTGGCCGCCACACTGAGACGGCACACGTACAGAGTATCTGCATCTCTGCATAAAGTTCTATCTGGACCACGCTGTTGTGGGCAGTCTGCAAACCAACACGTTTACCCATTCTATTTACGCCATCATATAAGAGATGAAAGTAGTAAGGGGAACATGTGTCAGGAAGCTTGGTAAACACATGTACTCCGGGGGGGGGGGGGGTGATGGGCCTCAAAAATAGTTCCAGGGCTCACCAACCACACAAGCAAAACTCTCGGGGGTTCACTGTATGGGGCACGTGGAGACACCCCATCCCAAATAAACTACTGTGTGCCGTATGTCCTCCCAGGACACGAGGTGTGCTAGGTCCCTTTGGACTCCAGATGCAGCATATTCCATGTCTGGGAATACTGCCCCCCCCCCCGCTCATTCACTGGGTCATCAGGAAGGCTGTCCCCTTTGAATGGGGTCCAGAGCAGCACAGGCTCTGCAGCAGGACCCAACTGCTGGGTAAGCAGCACTGTCTCCAGAGCTAGACGGCCCCACACAGGCTGTTGGACAGTTCTGTGCATTTGCCCTCTGCATACGGGCTGTTCGTTCTTGCTCCGCTTTCAATCACCCCTCACACCCTTGTTCAGGCTATTATGAAGGAATGATGACCTGTTTTACATATTCAGCAGACTGCAGAACAATGGATAGGATACAGTTAAGTTTGTTAATGTTGTTAAAAAGTATATGCATTGAAATGACATAAATATCAATGGTAGTCATGTTTATAAGGTATAATCATGGGCATCTGGATTGTTCGCTTCCTTTCTACTTATTTTTCCTACAAACTGCTTGTAAAATGAAGAATAAAAATTAAATTCACTACCACATCTGTGAAAACAGCTCTGACATTCCCCGACAGAATTACATTTCCCCTTTCCTATTATATACGTTCTATTACTTCCTGTGTCACCTGGAGGTAAACCATGTTCTGAACGTCTTTAACTTTGTAGCATAAAGAGTCTAACTCAGTATCTGGGCACAACAGTCATTCAAAAACAGTGCTGAGTTGACCTACAGGAGCTAAGCCCTCTGGATTATGACTCATAGTAGCTTCTCTATTTATTCTACTCAATTACTCTGTATCTATTATATACTCACGAGTACTCTCTTTGTAGTGCAATTACTGTTTTCACTGTCTGTTTCTATTCTCCTCCTCATTAAGTGCTAACCTATTTGTGTGTAGGAGGAGTTCCTTGGCACACCCGTTAGCATCCACTCAAGTGTTGAGCATGGAAAATGGAAGCTCAAGAAATAGTTGTGAATGGCTTTTCTAAAGAGCACTGACCTGGGTATTACACAATAAAGATTAGGAAATTTTGGTTTTTACTTTTCAGTCGTGGAAACTGAGGAAGTGTGGCTCTTACTTAAAGAGCTCATGTTTGTCGGAGGGAGCGAACAGGAAACTCAAATGAGAGGACATCTGTGACACCTACTTACTTACACCGAACAATGCTTAGGTTTTACAGCTCCACACTAAAACTAGTAAAAGTTTTTTAGACACAGTTCAACAAAGTTATGTCAAAATCAACTTGCAAATACGAATTCAAGTCTGCGAAGAAAATTGTAGACCTACGTTCTCAAACTCTCAGCTGTGCTGAACGGCTCTACCCTTTACTTCCTGTGAACTGTTCTTTTACCTTTGGCACCGAATTAGTGTAAAAAGACACTGGTAGCTCTCGGCTCGTCTGCTGAAAGACCGACCGTCCCTGTTACCTTTCTGTGACGCGGAGAGGACGGTCTCCCCGGTCTTACTGTGCACGGACACCTGCTTGCTGCCGTCCTCTTCCGCCCTCGGGGGGCTCTGCCCCTGCGTCCAGATGGTTCTCCGGGTCACGCCGGGGACACCTTCACGGCGCACCGTCTTCTTCGGGTCTCGGAGACCCCAGCTCAAACCGGGCGCAGTCTTCAGGCCGGCTTTGTTGAGCACTAAGTGTGGCAGAAAGAGCCGCTTCCCGGAGGATCTGCGCAGCTTCTCCGCACACTGTACAGCTCGTAACAAAGCACAAATCATGTTCACGGAAAGCCGGTCCGCTGTGGAAAGGTGACAATTATGAACAGCACAGCTTCACCACCTAATACACACGCCGCCGGACTGTACTCAGGTCTACGCATTCACACCGGTAATTCTGCACGGCGTGTTCGGCAAAAACGTTAGCTCCCAAAAGAAGCTGTTTCCTCTTCTTCTTCTCTTCGGCGCTCTTTTTACTGGAATTAAAGTACTTTAATTACCTCCCGTACTGACATCCACACTCTCCCCGCCATGCCTTTGCAAAGTAAGTTGGGAAACCTCGGGGGATCCTGGGAATAGTAGTTCGAGGACCTCACGCCTCACCGAGTCCCCGCAGCGGGAATGGCGCCAGGACTACATCTCCCACAATACAATGCGGCCAGAGCCAGCGCCGGCCGAGCGTTCCCTGCGCATGCGCTACTCGCATGTGGCGTGGGGCGGCTGGGCGGGGCGGTTCGCAGAAGCGCCAAGAAACAAATTAGCGATTACAAACTTGGTGTTCTTAACAACTCTCTAGGGAGAACTGTGTAAACTGGGAAATTCTCAGTTTGACCGTGGCTTTGCCGTCCTCGAGGGTCAAATGATGTAGCCTCTGCGTTTCAGTTTTTTCCCAAGGAAACCAGACAGGATGAACACATTTTCCCAGAGCCACCAGGTGGGGAGGACCAGGCCGCCGCAGTGCCCAACGCCAGCATCCGAAACTCAGCGGCCCGCGTGCTCATCAGGCCGTCGGCGGTGGGAAGAACCAGGGCCCCAGGAGTTTCGAGAACGGCTCCAGGAGCCGGCGGAAAGGCGGTACGGCCGGCCGCCCCTGCGCACGCGCGCCGAAGAGCGTGCCGGCGCCGAGTGGGCGTGGCGCGGGGCGGGGCGCTCCTCCCTCCCGCCGCCGCTCCGCCCCTGGCGTGCCCGTCGGGTCTCCATGGCGACAGGACGCGGCCGGCTCCTGCAGCAGCACTGGCGCGGCCTTCTGGCGCTGCGCTTGCCGCTGGGCGGCGTCGGCGCGGCCCCGGGGCCTGCCGGGTTCAGGTGACTCCCCGGGGCCTTGGGTCGGGTCACTGCTCTGCCACCCTTCCACCCTATTTTCGTTCGTTTGGCTCCGGCGCATCGCGCGCCGCTCTTTAGTGCGGGACAGGTGTGAAGGACCGCGGGAAGAAATCTCCTCACCTTGGAAAAGTGGGGTTACCCCAAGTCCTGACACACGGTGTCCCTCCTCCGCCGAAGTCTCCGCAGCGTAGGAGCCCTGAACCCTTGAGCAGCGCTGGGCGCGGATGCCGCCCACCTGGGAGGGCAGGTGGCAGTTACAGGTCCGCACCTGCGGGCCGTGAGAGCGCCGCGCTCCCTTGGCGCCTGGGGGCCGCCCAGGTGGCAGCCTGCCAGAACGCAGCGCCAGGGTCGCCCGCGTCTTCTGTGGCCTTGTCACCTTTAGTCCCAGGAGTTTGTAAGTTAGGGACGTAGAGTCTACGTAGCAAAACGCTACCGATTTTCTGTCCTGACCCCAGGTCGTGAATGGAGGACACCCCGAAGCAGATAGTTCTGGCGGGCGGGTTGGTCTGGTCGCATCTCTTCCTGGGGCAGGAGTTCTGCACTGTCGACTTGGAGGTCCAGTCTGCGGTTTGTTTTTTTTTCTTCAATATTTTTATTATTTATTTCTAGGAGAGAGAGAGAGAGACAGCGTGAGCAGGGGAGTGTCAGAGAGAGAGGGAGTCACAGACTCTGAAATAGGCTCAAGGCTCTGAGCTGTCAGCACAGAGCCCGACGCGGGGCTCGAACCCACGAACCGCGAGATCATGACCTAAGCGGAAGTCGGATGCCTAACCGACTAAGTCACCCAGGCGTCCCCCCCCTCACGCCCCCCCCGCCGTCTGCGTTTCTAAGCAAACCCTGAAGGGATGCCTATAGGTCGCCACCCTTTGGTGCTCAGCTCCTAATCCCTTTCCCTACGGGCTGGGCTTGTGCTGTTCTTGTTCCAGTGTCTATAGACCCGTCTCTGCTCCATGTCTCTTGGGTACCTTGGATCTGAAGGGTAGTCTTCTTCCAAGGTGACAGCAGGCAGAGGAAGGGGCAGGAAGCAGGGTGGGGGGGGGAGCGGTGCTGGAGCTACGTTACACAAGGAGCTTTGACTTCACTCTGAGCGCAGTGGTTCACTTCATAGTGAATGATCCAGAATGTCCAAGACACCAACATGCTGTCACGGCACCTTATCTGGTCCTTCCATTTTCTGGTGAGTGGTTCCTAGCTTTGTGCGCATCATCTCAGTTAGTCAGGTGGAGGGACAGTACAAAGAGCAGTGTGCATTCTTGAGAATTCTTTTCACTTGCAAGTCTTCCTGATTTGTAAGATATAAAAATCCGTGCTTATTATGGTTCTAGTAAACCAGATGTCTGTGTGTAAGCATGTAAAATGATTCTGATCCTTAACAGTTCAACTTAAATTACTTTTCGTTTTCCCGAATCCCCAGGCTTCTCTATGTCCCATTTTCCTCCTAGGGTCCGTTACCAACTTACCTTGCTTTCAGAAGTGGTGCTCTGAATCTTAGTATTATGGTAATTCGTTGGCTCTTGAGAATAGCTGCGATGCTAGATGTACCACAAGCCTTGTGACAAGTAAAATGGTGCCTTCAAAACTTCTATTATGCAGGAGAAGAAAACTGGCGTTTAAGTAGGAAGCTTGAACTTTAAATCAATTTGCCACTATTACGAAATTTAGTCTTTATATATACAGCTCTGTTAGTGGGAAGCAGAGTCATTTTTATGTGATGAATCTTCTATTACTTTGTAAGTTGAGTGACCTTCCTGGTGAAATGATGTAATTAGAGTGCCTGGCATGGGAGCCTACCTGTCAACCTGTGGTTTGGGGAGGCACACATTCTTTATAGAAAAGAAAAATCAGCTCAGAACGATTGTGGATGGTCTAAAGTAGGTGTTTACTTTTATTATACCAATGCAGGAAAATTAGATTTTGTAAGAAATCAGTGGTTCCCTTTTTAAAAAGTTATTTTTTTTTTTTAATGTTTATTTATTTTTGAGGCAGGGAGGGCCAGAGAGGGAGATAGAGAACCCCAAGCAGGCTCTGCACTGTCAGCGTGGAGCCTGATGGGCTCCATCTTACGAAACCACAAGATCATGACCCGAGCTAAAATCAAGAGTCCCACACTTAATCGACTGAGCCATCCAGGTGCCCCTCTGTGGTTTCCTTTTTAACACAAAAGTTGAACATTTGTAATTGTCATAAACTGTAAGAAATGTAGCAGAAAGCATATCAGGTTGGTTTAATTTCTATTTGATCTTTTTTTACCCCCCTTGGTTTATCAAATATCAAAAATCAGGCTTGGAGGTTAATTTTCTTCCTTTTTTTGGAGGGTAACTTTTTCAAGTGTATTACTTGAAAACCTTTTTAAACTAAATGTCATCTTACTAATTATGTACACTAAGTGTGCACTTAATTTTGTAGACCTATAGATCTACCTGAGGACATGCATGGAACTTAGTGATTTGTTAATTGTGTGACCCTTGAAAATGTGCAGTTGGTTTATTTTATGGAGAAATGGAGATGTACTTTCACTAATACTAAAATCCGTACTGATCAGATGTAGAATGTAATACCGTAGGATGAGCTCTGGAGGGACAGTCCGGGGATGAGGGCGTCTGGGGCTCGAGCTTGGGACCTTGTATGAGTCCCCGCGATTGCCTTGTTAGAGCCATGGTCTTTTGATTTGTGAAATAGGGACTCATGGGGTCTGTCTTACTTATGGAAAAGCCATACAGCAGCAGATAGGCTGTACTTCTCAGCTGCCAGTGGGTGGGGACGCATGTGGCTGGGTAAAGACACTGTAAAATGAATGCAGTGGCTTTGGAGGAAAATGTTAAGTAATTTACCTGGTAAATACTATAATGTGTTTGTATAATTAGACCACACAGATACGTTATCCAGTAGAATGCAGCATTTGCATTAATTTTCAAGATCAAATAAGAGACTTCAGAGAACTTGTGAGAGGCTGTGTCCCCCAGAGTTCGGGGCAGCTGGTACTCCAGGACGGGATGAACGCCTTTGAGAACCACTGCTCCTGCCTAAAAGGTTGTGCTGTGATTCCAAACCTCCTTCGTATGGGATTCTCAGTTTTGAACATCAAAACAACCCACATTTTTTTGAATTTAAAAATCCCACAATTTACTGCATGTTTAATATATTAATATTAGAAAATACACAGAGTTCTATCCCTTCAATTCTCTAGCCCCCATTTAAAAACCACCACCACCTAGTGGCTCAGTCTCTTACACTTCTGACTCATGATAGCAGCTCAGGTTATGATCCCAGGGTCATGGGATCGAGCCCTGCATTGAGCCCTGTGTCCAGCTCTGCACTCACAACCTGGAGCCTGCTTGGGACTCTCTCTCTCCTTCTCTCTCTGCCCTTCGCCCTCTCTCCCCGACTCATGATCTCTTTCTCTCAATAAATTGATAAGCAAGAAAAAAAAAAACGCCACCACCTCAAAGCCTTGTTATCCTGTGAATCAGATTTATTACTGGTTAATACCATTTTGTCTTTACTTTCAGACCTTTTTTACCTTGTGTGTGTTTTCTATTCTCTTAGGAGAGAAATACAAAAATACGATTATGTGGTGTATCCTAATATAACCTGATTTTTTCAATTGATATGTTATAATTTAGCAGGTAGATAACCTTCTGTATGCCAGGCATTTTGTGAGCACTGAAGTGAACAAAACTCATGCTAAAGACCTGCCGATATGGAGCTTAGAATTCCAGTGATAGTGAGCAGAGTGGATAAGGAAAGTGTGTAGTGCTGGGTGGTGATATGTGCCCAGGGAAGAAAATAAGGAGGGGGCCTAAAGTGTACGTGTGTGTGTGTGTGTGTGTGTGTGTGTGTGTGTGTGTGTAGTATGCATTGGAGTTACTTATTTATTTGAGAGAGAGAGAGACTGGTGGGGGGGGTGGTGGGGAGAGAGAGGGAGAGAATCTCAAACAGACTCTAGGCTCAGTGTGGACCTGATGTAGGGCTCGATCCCACGACCCTGGGATCCTGACCTGAGTCCAAATCAAGAGTCCAGACGCTCAACTGACCAAGCCACCCAGACACCCCGGCATTGGGGTTTTAGACAGCATGACCAAAGAAGTTCTCAGGGAGATGGTGACATGTGTGTGACATGTATGAGTACTGGAAGGGGCGGAGGGAACAGACTGTGTGGACGTCTGGAAGGCACCAGGAGCTTATTTCTACCTCAGGCACTTTCACCTGTGTTGAAACTGTCCATTTTAATTGTCTGAACATTGTTAACTGTATGGAGGCCATGCTATGTAACCAGTCCTGGTACCATTTCTGGAATTTTTTCAGTGCAGACAACTCTTGAGATGGCCTTGGTTGAGTAGCATTTTGGGGCTCATTTACTTGCTTTGGGATGTATTGATACAAGTGAAATTCCTGGCTTAAAAAAATACATGTGCCTTTTAAAGATCTCAATGAATGCTACCAGATTCGGCTTTCTCTACTGTTTGCACCAATTTATGCTCCCAGCACTGAATGAGATGTTCTTATTATTTGGTCTTTGCCAGTTTGCTAGATTGAAATGGATCAATACAGCATATTAATTTACTTTCCTTCGATTCCCTTGGAAAGGACTTAGGGGTAATAGATTTTATTTTATTTTTTTGACGTTTTTTGATTGAAGAAATATGTATGGCACAAAGCTGTTATCAGTTTACTAATGCTTTTAAACAAATTTATATTTGAGTGGCCCCAGCAGTATTCATTGACGTTAAAGAAGCATTTCTCAGTCTTCACATGGCGTGTGTAAGTAGACCCTCAGACTTCTCAATGTGGCTGTTCATATTGGCAGGGGTCTGAGGGGCACTGGCTGGAAAACGCAGGAAGATTGTACTATTTGATGGTGGAGTAATAGAAATTCCTTTTACTTAAAGCTTATGAGTTAGAAACTTCTGTCCACTAAAGATACTTGATCTTTGAGCATGTAATACAGGTTGATACAGACTTACGAGAAGTTAACCACTTAAAATAAGGAGTGCTTTTAAAAATCATTTTAAAATGTAGATGTTTAAAAGTTGTGTTTTAGGTTGAACGGTGCCCTCGAAATTCATGTCCACCCAGAACCTCAGGATCTGATTTTATTTGGAAATAGGGTCTTTACAGATGGAATTAGTTTTAAGATGAGAACAGAGTGGGTTAGGGTGAATCCTGAGGCACATGTGACTGACGCCCTTATGAGATACATACACACTGGGAGGTGGCTGGGTAAGGACGGGGAGAGGTCAGAGTTAGTCGTCTTAGTTGCCACCAGCTAAACGACACCCAGGATTGTCAGCAGCCACAGAAGCTGGAAGAGGCAAGGAAGGTTCTTCCTACAGACTTTGGACAGAGCATGGCCTCCCCACACCTTGATTTTGGAGTTTCGGCCTCTCGGACTTTAAAAACAATAAATGTCTGTTGTTTGAAGCCACCTGGTTGGAGGTAGTTTGTTACGGTAGCCCTAGGAAACTAATACCATTAGGAAATTGTATTTCACGTCTTATTACCGTGTGAGCGCCGGATCAGTGGAGTTGAAGCTTCTCTGTTGTGGAAACCTTTGCTTCAATAGTACTGTCAACAGAAGTACCGACATGTACTGCACAGGCGTCGCCCTGGTACAAGGGGGAGGGCGCTGCAGAGCTCTCCAGATGAGGACGTCTTCTGCCCTCTCCCCTCCCTGCCTCTCCTGCTGTGCAGGGGACAGCGCCGATACCACTGGTCCGCCTGACTTGTTTGCGTTCCCGAGAACTCACGGGCTAGAATGAGATAAGACAGAAGGCTTATCTTTTTGCTGAAGCTGGAATGGAGAGGCGAGGGTAGCCAGCATTGTTCACCTCGAGGCATGTGTTCCCCTCCAGGATCTGGAAAGGTTCGCGGCCTTCCACGTCCCCTAGGCCGGGGGCCGGCATGCAGGTGCTGGCTGGTGTTTACCGAGGGCTTACCGCCTGCGGCCGCTGTGCTGTTTCTGGAGAGGAAACCTATAAAGGGAGAGAGAAGAGCTCCCGGCAGCTGGGAAGCATGCGGGGCGGGGTTGGGGGCTTGCGGATGTGCAGGTGTGGGCGCGCCCCGCCCACAGTGCCGCTCTGGCCGTGCTGGGCTGTGGGCGATCCGCTCCCTGTGCCTCCTGGAGCAGGCGCAGCTTGGGGCCTAGAACCCTCCTCTGTTCCCGTCCTTCCATGGAACATTGGTTCTGCCACTTCCAGAGAGATCATCGGCCTCCCTTCCAACGTCTTGTGACCCCTGTTCTGCCCCCAGTTATTGCCCGTATCCTTTTTGATTGTTAATCCACGTGTATCTGTGGAATCAGCTCAGTAGAAAAACGGGGGTGTTAAACTCCTGGCGAACAAAGTGCACACTGAGAGCAGTGACATTAGTGAGCTGAGCATATGGAACGTATCCGTTAGATTTTAGTCACATGCTGGGTGGGAGGTGGGCCAATAATTGACGTGTGTGTGGGGGCAGGGGGTAAAGAAGCAGCTTCCAAACCTCTCCACGAGAAATAGCCGATCCACCCGTAGCTCCGTCTGTGGGCTGCTGCCTGGAAACAGGGCTGTGGGCTCCATGCCTTTCTGGGCGTTTCAGATCCCTACCAGGCTGTTGTTGAGTAGTGCTGGTTTTGAGGGCTGATTTTTTAAATTAAAATGTTTAATGTTTATTTCTTTTGGATGGGGGAGGGGCAGAGAGAGAGGGAGACACATATTCCGAAGGAGGCTCCAGGCTCTGAGCTGTCAGCACAGAGCCTGACGCGAAGCTCAAACTCACAAACCGTGAAATCATGACCTGAGCTGAAGTCGGGTGCTCGATGGACTGAGCCACCCAGACGCCCCTGGAGGGCTGACTTTAACAAAAATTTATTTTAGTAACTTCTGAAAACAACTGTGTAAAATATACCTTATTTCATTGAATCTTAAAAGCTATCAATTATTTACTATTTTTTTATACCACTAAAATAGAGAGATGTCCAGTTAAAATATATGCAATTGGACGTGAGATATTTAAAATGTGGAAAGAGTTATATGGATGAGTCTGTGGCGTTTCCGCGGCTGTGGTCACCTTTGGGAGGGTTGGGGCCAGGAAGCACCCCTCAAAGACCTGCCAAGTTGTAGACGTGTGGGCACTTGTGGTTCATAAATCTCAAGTGTTTTTCAACCTCTTGATGCTGTCGTAACCTGTTGATACATTTTATTTATTTATTTTTTAAATATTTTTTTATTTATTTCTAGGAGAGAGAGAGAGACAGCGTGAGCAGGGGAGGGTCAGAGAGAGAGGGAGTTACAGACTGAAACAGGCTCCAGGCTCTGAGCTGGCAGTCAGCACAGAGCCCGACGTGGGGCTCGAACCCACGAACCGCGAGATCATGACCTGAGCGAAAATCAGACGCTTAACCAACTAAGCCACCCAGGCGCCCCGATACATTTTATTTTTATCCTTTAATCACATTCAGTAAGAAATAGTTTTATCGCATTTATCACAGCCCCTCTTTGATAGGCTGACGGCCTGTAAGAGCAAGTACTGAATCTTAAGTTTAAAACGCCCCAGAGTCAGTCCAGTTTTGAGGCCTACTTACTCAGGACCCCCCCCCTGCCTCCCTCCCTCCCTTCCTGCCCAGAGATGTGGTTGTGCAGGGAGGTTGTGTCGGAAGTTTATGAACCCTTACAGGTTTGCAGAGGGGACCGCGCCCGCCACCTCTCACTAGAACCCGACTTCTCCGTGCTTTCCCGCAGATGTGGCGGCCTGAAGCAGTGCGCCGGCCGCGGGCAGCTCGGGGGCTCGGCCGCGCCTCACCGCTCGGCGGCTCTGGACAGGTGAGTGCGGCCCGGCCGCTCCTCCGGGGGCCCTCGGGGCGGGCTTCGCAGCGTTCCGGTGCCCTGAACACCGAGCTGCTGTTCTGCGCTGAGAATAGAATTGCGGAGGAAGGAAGTACAACGTGGAGCGTTTGCCGTGAGTCATCAGCCTGTCACCAGTGTCATTATTAGACTGGGTTTATGAAGCAAACTTCCAAAAGTGACAAGTAAATTTGCCTTTTTCAAAAAACGTTCTTCAAAATTATTCACTTGCTAGTTGATAAAGACCCTTGGAAGGGGAGGGGAAGGAGGATTAAAGCGTGTTCTTCTAAAAGCCCCGGGGTCTGTGGGGTTTTTAGCCCACAGTGCTTTGGGAAGCCAGCCTGGCAAGGTTCCGCCCGCGGACCCCTCAAGGAGATACGTGCGGTCTTTGTTTTGAACTGTTTGACATTGATGCTGAGGTGCCCGTGGACGTGCGCTGAGCTGACACAGGCCACCGACTCCGTGCTAAGACTGTGTGGAGCCCGTACACGTTGGCAGTGGAGGAGGTAGGGCTCACCTAGTGTGCGTATCGCCAAATTCACGTGCAGACCTAAGTTGCCTGGTTTCAAGGGCTTTTATTTTATTTTATGTTTATTTATTTATTTTGAGAGAGAGAGAGAGGGAGAGAGAGAGGGGGAGAGGGAATTAGAGAGTGGGAGAGAGCAAGCACAGGGGAAGGGCAGAGAGAGAGAGACTCCCAAGCAGGCTCTGCACTGTCAGCTCAGAGCCTGATGTGGGGCCCGAACTCATAAACCGCGAGGTCATGACCTGAGCTGAAACCGAGAGTTGGTTGCTCACCCAGCTGAGCCCCCCGGGTGCCCCCGAGTTTTGAACTTTTAGTAGTATGTTATAACTCAGCTAACAGGATGCATACTTTTAGTGTGTTTTTAAAAAGAAATGAAAACCAAAAAAGAAAGTTAATTAAGGACAGCAATTTAAGCTTTAAAGCCTGTACTCTGAGAACACAGTCTGTCATACAATAGTCTGATATGGAAACAGAACAAATATTCGTTCGGTTCATGCATCCGTCAAATATTTGAGGACCTTCTCAGTTCCAGATAACTGTGCTCTGACGCTTTGTGCTGCTTTGATTGTCCTGCCTCACACCTTCCTCCCTGCTCCCCCCCGCCCCCGCCCCCCGCCCCGTGCCCGCTACAGTGTGAAATAATTAGAATCCAACAGAAAGTGACCCAGTACGGGCCTGGACGGTGACTGTACCGGCTTTGAGGAAACCTTATGAACAATAATTTAGAACGTCTTTGATCTCAACTGTGCTAACTGTAAAGCAGAGGTTTTCAGCCTTCTGGAAGTACAGGGAGAGCACCCCTTCATTAAGTTAGTCTGCCGGGTAGGAGGGCGGATAGGATTTTAGTCCAGTTAAATAATTTTTCCTGGATAAGATTTGCTGGCTACTTTTCTGAAATGTTTTCTTTAAGCCCAAATCTACATTCTTTGAACTATAATTATTTAAGAAATAATAACCATGAATTTTTGTGAAATCACTGAATCAGAATGTGAAAACCACGAGCAGTGGGTAACCCAGATGGTCACAAAATGTGTTTACGTGCAGCTCTGCCATCTCCAGCTTTCGTGCCCTTTTGTCACTAAAAGTGTCTAATTTACTGACGCTGAAGAGATGGAATTTCATGGGGGGGGGGAGGAGGGATTTAATTAATCCCCAAGCAAAACTGCTTGCTTTAACTCTCAGGGAGTCTCGGGTTCAGTATCTCTGAAGCTTCTGCGTGGGGGTAGCTCTGACTAGTGACACAGGCCACTTGTGTCTTGTGTTCGTCATCTTCCCTCCGAGGACCCACTCCCACCACTCGCAGAAGCACCAGAATCTTAGGACTGATTATTTCCCTGTGGAGCGTTTGATAACCTGATTTTCATCACCGTTTAAAATTCTAAGATAGTGAAAATGACAAGGGCAGAGTATGGGCAGCCGTTTTAAGTTGTCCAGAGGGTTTCACTGCCTCAGTTCTTTACCCTGAGCCCCCACCCCCACCCCCCCACCCCCCCCAGCAGCCTCCTCGGGCTCCTTTGGGTTGTGGTTTCTTCCTGCCTAAGGCCCATCCATGCCCAGGCCTGACTTCATAGTGTTGGTAAGGCTTTCTAGACACTTTCGGGCTCTGATCACACTTGTAAAAGTGTGAGATCATAGAAATGTGGATAATGGGGTATTGAGAATGCACCTCAGTGTCATTTATTTGGGCAATAAATGAGAAAAGAGGGCGAGAGACTTGAGAAAATCTTACAGGGCTTGGTGTCTCTGTAAAGCCCTGGAGAAAGGCCCCAAGCACCAGGACGTGAAGGAAGAGGGTGTGTGCGGGAGCTGAGGGCCAGGCAGGAAGGAAGCTGATATTTCCTAGTCCAGTCTCTTCTTTGAGGAGGAGGAATCTGTGTTCTTTCTTATTAGTAGCTAAGAACGCATTCTTTTTCTCTAGTCTCCTTTTATCTCACCAAAGGATGTGCATACTTTCGGGAGCGAGGTAGGGAAGTCCTGCGGGTGGATTCCCAGTGTGTGAATATGACTGATGTGCCAGGGAAGTTAGGTTCCTGTACCCTGGGGTCTCTGATGCGTGTATGTCATGAGGACTGTGGTAGCCGGAACGTTGCATTTGGGAAAACGGGAAGATAAGGGTGCGGTTTGCCTCTTGTGCGGGACCGGTGCTGGTCACCTTGTATCTGGGGATGAACAGCCAGTTGTTTTCTGGGTGCCGTCTACCTCTCTGATCTCTTCCCCCCCCGCCCCCCCTTAGTATGCCTTCAGAAGTCTTGCTGAAGATCTTTTCCTACTTGGACGCCGTGACCCTGCTGTGTACGGGATGCGTGAACAGGCGTTTTTATCATCTGGCCAATGACAAGTAAGGGGAAAACCAAATCTCTCTATCATCTTTGATGGCATGTTGATGGGAGTCATGAAGACTAGTAAGACTTTTTAAACTGTTTTTTAAAATTTAAAATAATTTCAAAAGTGTGTTTAAACATAGATGGAACATGTCTAATACTTTAAGTGGCCAAACGGCATTTTCAGAGATTTGCGTTTATATGGTCTAAAGAAGAATATCTTTGCATGAACTGAAAATGATCAAACTTGCTATTGGTATAGCTGTTGCCTCCTTTATGGAAGAATCTCTCTCTCTCTCTCTCTCTCTCTCTCCCTCTCTCTCTCTGTGTGTGTGCGTGTGTGTGTGCGCGCGTGCGTGTGTGTGTACCCACACTAGCAGGTTCAAGGGAAATAAACATGTTCCTGACAGTAGTTCTAGAATGGATGTAGAGTGATTTTTGTGTCTCTTTCTTAATGACTGCTTATAAGAGGTGAAGACATTTCACCAAAGCAAAGTGCAGTAAGGTATTTTTCATGAAAGAGATCCAGTATCCCAAACTGTAGCTTTTTGCAGGGTTCTCACTTTATTTAAGGATAGAACTTTGATTAGTTGGATAAGATGATAGATTATAAATTGATCAGTATCTCTAGATATCCCCTCTCCCCACTGAACTTCGTAGGCCCAGACTATACAGGCCCTGGGCATTCCAGGGGATTTGGGCCACACCTCTAGTAATATTCTTTGCATACTTTTATTATTGATTACATGCCTGTCCCACTTTCTTGGGAGTTGTCCTTTAAAAATCCGGGCTTCTGATGAAATTATCTTCATGTTTATTTTCTTTTTAAAGGAAATATCTTAATGGCATACATCGAATTTTATTTTTAAGAGTCCTAGTGTGATTTTACAGTGAGACTTCAAAAAGGGCCTGTTGACGATTGAACTGGTAAACAAGTGTTTGCAAACAGTTGATGGTACTTTCTAAGCGTTACTTCTGGAGAGGGCGGGGCTGCCTGCTGTAGCCAGTGACAACAGAGGACTTATGGCGAGACCTGTTTGGAGGGGAGGGGTCGCCCCGATACCCCCCTTACATGGGCGGGGTGCTGCCTCCTCCGTGCGTGTATTGTGTCCCTCAGCCTGAGCTCTAGGCTTCGCCTGCATGGGGGTAAGGGGGCCGCTCGGTCAGGCTGGATCGGGATCATCACGTGGAGTTTTTATTTTCCAGCACTCTACAAAACACTTTATCAGAGCGTTAAATTGGCCCCATTTTGTCAACAACTTGTCTGATTGAAGTTGTTCTGTGCCTGACTGGTAGTCAGAATAGCTAAATATGCTCTTGTCCTCAAATCCACCTTAGTTTTTTTTTTTTTAACAGGATGGGGCATTGGGTAATCAAGAAATGAATGTGTCTGGGTTTTGAGTACTTGTAAAAAGCATCTTAGACCTGACATTTGTGTTTTATAAATAAACACGCGCAACAGTCTGCACAGTATTTAATTCTGCAGGACGTGCTTTCTGGACGTCCCTATGGTGACTTCAGTGGCTCTTTGTACAGGTGTCAGGTGTGGTTGTAACTGAAGGTGTGTGGGGCTCATGCTCTGTGTCCCCGCAGACAGTGTGTGTCTTGTAGTTCGGGAGCGCAGGCACACGGACCGGAATAGTCAGCTGCAGTTCCTGTGGTGCTGATGTGAGAAATTTGGGAACACTTATGTGGAGTAAAATGATGAATAAAATAAATTTTGAGGAAACTATGAACAAGCTTTTCTGTCAGGGAGTTTTAAAAAGTGTCTACTCAAGGGATTTTTGGCAGAAGAGTCTCAGGCTTTATTTACCTAGATGCACTCAAATAATCTCCAGTTTGCAACTCAGCTCATGTAGAAAGCCCAGAAATTTCTGAACTGAGAAAATAAATACCTTAAGGCAGAAAACTTGGTGTGAAATGATTTTGTGGGGGGAGAAATGCTTTGAAAATGCATACTAGAGAGTGATGTCCATAGAGGTCTGATTATGAGTTTGCTAGAAAGTGAGTTTGGTGGAAAGTCCGTGTCTGTCTTGGATCAAGGAGACCTGTCCACAGGTCGCATGTCTGAGAAGTGTGCCTTGCTGCCGTGGGGAGTCCTCGGTGAGCCGAGCGCTTCGGGGCCCCCGGGATGCCCCGGCTTCCCCTCCGGGCCCCCTCTGCAGGGGCCTGGCCTTCTCCCAGCTGCCATTGCATCCCGCATGGCACTAAATAGAAATGTGGAGACATTTAGCAAGTAATTACACTTACTTAGGTAAAGCTCACCTTTTATAGTAGGAATTTGATTGTAGCCCCTGCCTCAGCTTCCCCTAAGAGAAGTTTCTTTCTTTCTCTGAAGGAGAGCGTCAGGAGGGGCGCCGTAGGCTCACTTTGGCCCCTGCTGACTAACTGCCACTGCTCCTGTGACTTCCTGTCCTGGTCTGATGAGCAGCAGGGACACCGGCCTGGGTCCGCCCTGAATTTGAAGTCAGCCTTGTGGCTGATCGGCTCTCAAATTTGGATAAATTATTTGGTTTCCTCGAGGTCATTTCTCTGTTACTGAGGAGGCTGGGCGGCACGGGCCGTGAGCGTGTGAGCGCGGGTTGAGGCTGCGTGGGCGCTGTCCTGGGTCTCCAGCCCCTCCGTACAGACTGGCCTGGCCCGGGGCACTTTGCATCGGGGCCTCCCGACATTATCTGTTGAGTGGGGACAATAATAGTAGCTGCTTCGTGCGTGTTGACGACCAAAGTAGTCCGCGTTTACAAAGTGCTCCAGTAATGCTTAACGCTGCACAAAAAATATTAACTGCTTTTCCCTCATGTTTTGCATTCATTATGCCGTGAATTTTTCATTTTCTTCTCTTTGTGCAAGCATTACATGTTCATTGTGGAAAAATTAAAACATAGAAAACAAAAGGATCATACAGTTCCGTTGCTGTTGGCATTTCTTTGTGTGTGTATGTATACATATTTCCTTTCCGATCTTTTAAAAAGTGTTCATATTTAAAATAACGCAATAGGAGTCACGTTTTATATTTCTTGTTATTTTTATGTAACTCTTTATTCAGTGATTGCTGTAGGAAGGCAGCGGTTTGGATAATGTCAGATAACATGAGATCACTCATTTTAACTTGACCGTGGGTTTAACTTGACCATGGGCGACAGGCTTTTCCCTCCTGTACGGGTTTCTGGGGGGGGAGGGGGTTGACCTGGAATTCTAACACGTGAACGACTGTCACGGCTCAGTTTGATTTGTGCATGGAATTGGACTGTTTACAAATGATTGTGCATCTCTAACGTGTCACTCCTGCAGGCATATGACTGTCTTTTAGTTAATGTTCCTCCTCTCCCTCAGTTTCCTTTGGATCAGAATCTATTCAGCGGCCTTTTCACCTAAAAGGTCTAATTGGAGAGTTAATTCAGCAGAGGAGACCACAGGATCTGTGAACGTGCCGCCGGCTAAGGATAAAGAAGCCGGCTATTGGAAGAAAGAATATATCACGAAGCAAAGAGCGCGTGTGAGGGCAGCGCTTGCGCAGGTTCTCAAGCCTGTGAACCCTTACACGGGCCTGCCGGTGAAGACCAAGGAGGCCCTCAGGTACCCAGCTTCCTGTCGAGCCATGGGTGCACCGGGTGCTCCAGGGGGCTGTTAACATCTGCACGTGTGTCGCTTCATAAACGGAGATGGTCTGAGCTCAGAGTATGGGCATTTAAGGACCTACATTCACATTATACTGCAAGGGGACTGTCTTTGGTATCTTCCTGTGTTTCCATGCATCCGTAAGGTATATAGTGTCTTCCTGTTTCATATCAACGGTCTGATGTTTGTATGAAAAGCAGAAATCACCTAGTCACCTGCAACAGTAAAGCAAGAGAGTCCAAAGCATCCTCCCTTCTGGGAAGAACTTTGTCTCTTGTGTGTATCGCCAGTTCTGAGAACATAGTAGACGTTCAATGAATGTTTGTTAGGTGAGGAGAAAAAGTCTCAAGAGAGGACCATTGATGAAATTGATGAAACAAAAATTTACATCAGGCACTTTCTGAGAACTTTGGCTTTTCAGGAACTAGATACTTTAGAGACGATATGTGAAATTGATGTTAGCATTTTTTTTATTTTTATGTATTATTATTATTATTATTATTATTATTATTATTTGCAACGAGGCCAACATTGTTAGCTTTTCTTTCTCCAGGGTATCTGGTTTAGGTTGGGTAATAATATTGAAAGAAAAAAATGGAAAAGAATACATCATGGAGCACATTGACCTTTCCATAAACGATTCATCCGTGACGATTACATGGTATGGCAAAAACTGGCCACGACTAGCCACGTTGTCAACCTTAGACCTGTGTGGTGTGACGCCAGCTTTTATGGAGCGGTCTAAAACCCCCTGCCAGAGTGGGTAAGTACTAATTCAACAGCAGCTTTGGGTGAGAACATCTTATATGTAAATCCTAGTTGTTATTCTTTTTTAAAAAATGTTTATTCATTTATTGATTTTAGAGAGAGCGCATGCACACATGCAGGAGGGGGGTAGAGGGGGGGAGAGAGAATCCCAAGCAGGCTCTGCGCTGTCACCACAGAGCTCACTGCCAGTCTCGAACTCGCAAACTGGGAGATCATGACGTGAACAGACATCACGAGTCAGATGCTCCACCGGCTGAGGCCCCAGCTGTCTCCGTTGTTACTATTCTCCTAATTTAAAGATGCTGCCAGTGTCTTTTAATTTGATTGCATCTTAAAGACTTCTCTTGCATTCTGGATCACTGTAGCAGAGAAAAAGAATGGATTTATCACATTCATGATTAGTTCTAAATTTAAGTTCCCCATATCTTGGTTGTCTATAACAGAGAATAACATTCTAGATAACAAAGAGAATAATTTTCTAGTTAACAAAATTCCTAGGTGATTGATGGCTAACCTTTTGAGCTTTTTAGTTTTAACCATTTTGATGCAAAGGCATATAAAACTACTCTATCTTTCTTTTAGTAAATGGTACCATAATTATAGTTTAAACATTAGGACTTACAGTACTTATTTTTATATGAACTGACCGGATGTGTGACCTTGTGCAAGTAGCTCAGTGTTTCTGTGCCTCAGTTTTGTCATGTGTGAAATGGAGTGATGATGATGTTGGTGATGAGTATTTAGCATGTGTGGCTGCTGTGAGGATTAAAAGTGGCATCAGTCGGCTGTGTGTCCGTGCGTTCTGTCCTGAGGGCCCCTGTGCTGTGTCCGTGTGCGTTAGAAGTTCCTCACTCTTCTCGCCATTAGTCACTTTCTCCTAAGAGCCAGATGCCGCCGGCGGCAGCGTCCTGACGTCCCGAGGCAGCGGGCGCCCCTGTCCTTCACACAAGGGTTATAGCTGCCTCTGCAGGCATGGCTTCCTGCCCCCAGCGGCCCTCTGCACGGCCTGCAGCCTTGGACGGCGCAGTGGCATTGGCCGCGTCATGGCTCCGACCGGCCCGTGCACCGTGGCCCCTCCTGTGGCATCTCTCACACGTGTCCTCGTGACGGAAGGTGTTGTCCGTGGCAGGACAGCGTGCCTTCAGGGCTCCCCCGGAACCACCGACTCATTTTTGCAGCTTGGCAACCGCGACCTTGTTTTGGCTTCTGCCATCTGGGGTGTGTCAGGGATCACGCCCCTGCTTGTCATGCTGGAAGCGGGAGGGCCTCGGGCTTCTTAGTGCTGTGAGGCCAGGTTTGATCGGGCTCTGAAAATAGCCTTCATGCTCCGAAGGATGACATGTGAATTATTTTCCCTGATTACATTCCTGAAGATACTTTGGAAGCACTTTTACTTTAAAAAAATTTTTTTAATTTTTTTTTTATTTTTGAGAGAGAGAGAGAGACAGAGCATGAGTGGGGGAGGGCAGAGAGAGAGAGAGAGAGAGAGAGGGAGACACAGAATCCGAAGCAGGCTCCAGGCTCTGAGGTGTCAGAACAGAGCCCGATGTGGGGCTTGAACCCACGAACCGTGAGATCATGACCTGAGCCGAAGTCGGATACTTAACCGACCCAGACACTCAGGTGCCCTGGAAACATGTTTACTTTTTTAAGTGGCACCTCTATTTGGATAAATCTCTGAAATTTCATAAGGTATCATGATGGACACCAGATCTTTCTAAGGCAGCATTTAGGTTTTATGCTCTATGGAATTATGTTTGGAGAATCAGTCTACAATCTCTGTGCTAATTTGACAGAACAATTTGTTACTTGGCATATCAGGAAGTATTGTTTATATGCGTTAGGACAACACTGTTAACCTGAGCTAAGCTGGTCACAGAAGATGAAGTGGGTGGTGCTGAATGGAGGAGCTCAGTTACGGAGGCTGCGCTCCTGAAAACTGACACCTGGGTCAGGAACGCTGGATTCTGCATGGTGACAAATGGCTAGAATTCATTGGGAAAATTGATTTATTATAATTTGTTTCCATTAAAACTCAGTGGACTTTAGCCCGCATTTGATGAACTGTGGAGAAGAGACACTAGAAGTGTTTTTCAGGAATTTGTGTTGATGGGCTCTTTTGTTGCATGTCTGGAAGCGAATGGGTTTATCATGCAGAAGTACAAATCCTCATGTATCTGTGTGACAGCCAAGGAAAACTTGGTTGTTATTTGTGTCTGTTTTGTTTCCTCGATGAGGATTTTTTCAAAAACGGTGAAGGCCTTATTCGTGTTATTTGCGATTTGAATTTCCCTGTAATTTATACCTTTCTAGTCAGGCTCATTAAATTTTCTGTTCTAGAAGTCTTCTTCATTCTGTGGTTTCTGCCATACCTCCCCAGATTTGGGAGGAATGTTGAGGAGGCATCAGCCTTCGTTTCTCTCTCATTAGCCTGTGAGACCAAGGCACACGGGGACTTAGCGTGTTCTCTGTGGAGTCATCTGAGCTGCTCTTGAGCCGTGGTGAAGACTGTCCTCACTTAGGGCGCGCTAAGGAGTGTAAGGGGAGGGCTTCCACACCTCCGCCCGACCTCATCCGTCTGCACTGATAGTCATGGTGGCCGGGACTCCCATTTCTGAGCAGCTTAGGGTTGGATTTAAGGTTTCAACTCCAGTTTCCTTGACGCCATACTCGTGTTCCCAACTCTGTGACTTCCTCCCAGCCTATTCTGCCTACGCGGAGTGTACTTTGAGATCGTACATCACCCACGTGTTCAATGACCACCTCTCCTCAGCCAGTGGTTTTCTGCACAAAAAGTCCTTTGCATATTGAGGGAGGGACCAAGGTAGTCTGGAAGCTACGGATCTGGTTTTGATGCTTAAAGCCCCCTGACCCCCAACCCCATGCCTCCCTGTGAAACAGATGAAGTCCTCCGTTTTCTGATTCACTACATAATGAACATTTGAATCCCTATCTCCAGCCAGCTTGTGCCTTAGTGGCTGGAGGGGAATGCTTGAATGCCATGCGGCCACGGCTCCTTAGGGACTTCCCTCCAAAGCTGAGCTGTGCTAATTGACCATTGAGATCTCATCTCCTTTATAATTTCCTGAACTATCTCTAGGTCCTTGGAAATGACATACATGTTTACCATTGTAGTGCTTCTAGACTGTTTCATTCTGTTGTTCTTAAGTCTCGTGATGAACAGCAGAGTTGCATTCCCTTACACATCTGAGTTATTACTTACTCTCAGACAGTAATTGTAATATAGAGTTCACAGTGGGTCTCTTCATGAAAGTCCTCAGGATTTTGGATTAAATTCATTTTCCAATATTAAAATTTTCACTCTCTCTGAGTTATCCTTGATAATAACTTTGAAAGGTATGTGCATCTGCTTCCAATAGCCTACCGAGATCACCTGCTTTTTTGTCACATCAAGTATTTCATCTTCGCTTATGTCTTAGTTCCCTCAATTCAGGATATATACGATTACAGTACATATGAGAATCTGCTTTTGATTGCAGCGTTGTGCTGGGCTCTGAGGGGCAGAGAGCAGAACATGGCTCTTCCTCAGCCTCGTGGTTCCTCCACTTCTGACTGGGCCCTTGAGTGGACAGCAAGAGCGAGGAGGAGGGGAAGGAAACAGGGTTGGGTGAGAAATTTGCGTGTTTATTTACATGACTGGTTTGTGTCCCCTGACCCTCAACGCACCGTATTAGCAAGGTGCCCATTGTTAGCGTGCTCTTCAGCTGTACCTTTAAGTTCTCTCGAGAGGATTGATAACTGCAGTTGTGAAAGCTCACTTCTCTCTTTCCTTTCTTTGGCATGGATGTTCAAAGGCCTCGGTGGCATTCTTTAATTGCAAAGTACAATCTGAGTAACTTAACCGAATCCACCACGATTGGCGGGGACAGACTCATTCGCATCTTCTGCCTGCACCCAGGCCTCCTGGTGGGGCTGTGGAAGGTAAGATTTGGGTCCCTGTCCCCCCCGCCCCCCTCGATTCCACACTCACCCACCACTGCACGTGACACCAGATGTGAGGTCCTGAAGTAATTCTCTCTTCCCAACCTCGCTTTTCTAGCTAAATGACCCCTGTTCTTGGAGGCGACTCCGCTGCTCTCCTGTCCTAGATGACGAGCTACCTATTCCTGCCTGGATGCTTTTGCTCTCATTATCCCGGTCATGTCCTGGGAGGCTCACCCCTTCTCCTTCCAGTCAGTCCGCGCTCCTTCCTTCCTCAGCCCCAGCCTGCAGCTGCCCATCTCTCTCACTGCATGTTTAACCAGTGTCTACCCGTGTAGCTGCAGCCTGGAGTGTAACCTGCCCTTCAGGGTAAAGTGTCTAAAGAGTTACCCCTTCCCAGTCCTTCTGGGATTGTTTTCTGGGCAGTCACGTCAGTGAAAAGCAAACCAGTGTGACGTTTCTCTGTACACCACACATGTGTTGAAATCTGTGGCTTTGGCCTGTGGGTGTTTTAAGACAGAAGTTCACAAATGTGATTTTGAGGATAATAGCACGTGTGTATAAATGACGACTGGACGGAACCAAGGTCAACGGCATTGTTCTTTTGTCATAACTTTGTCTTTCTCAACCTGACGAGGCAGTCACTGTCCCTCTCCCCTCCGCGTGAGGGTGACTTGTGGCCCAGGTCGCAGTTTACCTGGGGGCCGTTTCCTTGACTAGAATTCATCAGTGTGCTGGCCCGCATTGTTATGAGGACCCTGGTCTGTCCGATTGTCCTTGGGCGGGCTGCTGCCGGGTGGGGCCTCAGCGCGGCCATTCTGGGCACCTACACCAGCCAGCGTCAGCTGTGAACTTGGGGAGAAGTGGATGTCTCTTCCTCTCCAGTCACATTTTCTGCTGCTCAGCCTGGTGGGTGACTGTCTTCATTCCCAGTCGCTTTGTCAAGTCAAGCGGGTACTCAAGAGAGGAATGCATGCCACTCATGTTCAGTGTTTGTGGAATTAATCCTGTATATGTGAAGGTCTTACCAATACTGTCCCTCTCTTAGAAAAGAGTTGGAAAGAATCTGGAACTAACAATGTGTATTTTCACCATCATCCTGTCTAATAGAGTATTTTGATATTTCACAAGTGCTGGGGTGTTAATCCTTTTAGTACCGCACGTGCTGCGTATTTGGGTGAATTGTGGCCTCGCTGTCAGGATGACACAGAAGTCTTATTGGATAGTAATAATGTATCGGCAGTAATAACACATTAGTACTGTGGTAATCGTACCAGTTATACGAAACTATCTATCTGTAAGATGAATGTGCTACGATCTTCACAACAACGTGGTGAAAAATTAAAATATTTCTGTTGAAAAATGTATTCTTTCTAATTAACTTTTCAGAGGGAGGAAGAACTGGCTTTTGTTACGGCAAATCTTCATTTCCATCAGCTTGTGGAGAAGAGCACATTAGGCTCGGCCACCGTGTATGTATTTTTATGTGTATCAAAGTTTCGTACCATGTAAAGGATTAGATGTTGATGCCATCTGAATATCCTGAGAATAGCTACAAAGATATTCTGTTTTTAATCAGTAGACACAAGCCAACAAACATAATTACTTGGCTGTGGCTAAAATAATTGGATTATTCACGAGTACGCATTTTCTGTATTTGCTCTGGGTTGAGGATTAAGTCCCGAGTCAGGGCAGGACGGCTTTGTTACTGCAAGGACCCAGCGCATCAAGATGCTTCCCGTCTTGGCACCGATGTGCGTTTCCATATCCTGCATGGTCCGCAGGTGTGTTTTGCTGAGCCTGGCACCGTGCGTGTCTTTCCATGAATTTGTAGGTCTTCGGGGCGGGAGGGAGGCGGTATGTTTTTCATATCACTACACCTTTCAGACTCTTTTATTCTTTTTTTTTCAAGTACCTGAAAAACTTTGAATGCTTTTGAGTTTCTTACCTTATGTAGTAAGGTTTTTCTTATTGAATAAAACTTGGTTCGTCATCGTGTTGGGTCTTCCGCCCGGCGGCTTCCTGACCTAGAGGTCTGTTGCTTGGGGCATTTTCCTGCTGAGCCGCTCTGTCCCCTGGCTACTGAGGCCGTGAGGAGCGGAGATGCCTCTCAGAGCGGCTGTGCTGGGCAGGACGCGGAAACACAGCCCCTCCGTGGTGACCTTGTGGGTGCCTGTTGAACTCCTTCCTTTGCCTGTTTGTAGAGAAGTTGGTGAAAGGAACATAAAGTGGTTCTTCCGAGTCCCTGGTGTGGAGGGTTACTGGGAATGGGATCCCTGTTGAGGACTGATAGGGACTGGTGTTTAAATGGATGGTGATATTTTTACAGAGTATTTTTAGTTCAAGCATTTTGTCTCTGGTGTTGACAAACCTGTGTGTGTGTTTTGTTTTGCTTTTTAGCCCCTACGAGCTGCCCCCTCACACCCCCCTTTTGGATGACAGCCCAGAGTATGGACTGCATGGCTACCAGCTCCATATTGATATGCACAGCAGTGGAGTTTTCTACCTGTGTGGCACATTCCGCAATCTCTGTACCAAGAAAGGTGAAACTAATTGAGTTTTTGTTTCAGTATGAAGTTAAAAGGTTGGAGACAACAGGGGACCAATTTTTATATCTGAGTTAAGAATAGTTTCTTAACTGATCATCTGTTGGCTCTCTGTCTTCCCAGACCCATACCTCATTCTAAGACTTGTGGAATACTGTGGCTGGAGCTAGTCTCTTTAGCTTCTGGCTCCTTCCTCACCATCTCTCTGCCTTCTGGAATGTTCTCTACTCATCTTTTCTGCTGATCCTTCCCTTACTGTTTTGCCCTGCCATGCCTCTTCTCTCTCCCTGAAACTTTGTCCCTTCTTTCTCCAAGGAATTTGGTAAACTTGCCCACAGGGCCAGTGTATCCCTTGCCCAGGATAAGAATGAGGAGAAACCACCCTTCTGTACGTACTGCGTCCATGATTATCATGGTTAGCCACCCTGAGACAGAGACTGGAATAGGCAGCGAAGGGAGGGGACCTCAGCCAACTGAAAGGGAAGAAGGAAGTTTGGTGTAAAGAGTTGTGTAGATTCAAGTTTGACATTTTTGGTAATAATATTTTACAGGGGACATTTTATACTCCATTTCTGAATATGGTGTTCCCCCAAATTGTTTCATCTAATAGATTTGACATCCATTACTAATCCCCTGCTTAAGTCCATTGCTTTTAGAGTTAGTGATTTTCTATTTATGTCAGTATTTCTGCATTTATTAGCTGAAGCTTTTGTAAAATACTTACCCACATCAACTAGTGAACTCCTGGAGTGGCAGGGTAAATGCTTTCATCCTTTCTCTTTTGACCACCAGTGTTCTGAGTGAGAAATTGATGTGTTCATTACCTCCTGTGGGTGGAAGTTATTTTGAGTGCACACTCTTTCTTTCTGTCTTTGTCGTTTAGTGACATTGTGGTTTCTTGGTTTCATATTTATTTAATAATTTATAGATAATTATAGACATTATTCTATTTGAGGCTAAAATTGTCTTTAGTTTGATCAGTGAGATCTACTTCAAGCTGGCTTCTGTGCCCTTTTGATACGCCTCCATTTAAGTCTTTGAGTCTTTGCTTTTTGACCCAGGACTTCTAGGTTTTTCTATGCTTATTAGAATTTTATTAAAAATATGTCACATGTATATCATGACCTGAGGTGAATTGACACCTTTGTTGTTGAATTGTCCTATCCAAGAATGTGGTGTGTTTTTCATTTTGTTCAAAAATACTTCTGTGTCTTTTAGGGTGTTTAAGAATTTTCTTTATACTAGTTTGCTCATTTCTTATTTAGATCTTTAGTATTTCATTTTGTTACTTCTCTCCCATTATATCTTCCAGTCGGTGTGTAATGTTTTGTGTGGCTTTGGTCTCAGGTCAATCCTGATCTCATAGAAAAAGTTGGGAAATATTTCTCCCTCTTGAATTTTTTGGAGGATTTTTCATAGAATTGGTAGTACTTCCTCCTTAAGCGGTTGGTGAAATTTACTCAGGAAGCCATGAAAGCCTGGAGTTTTCTTTGTGGGAATGTTTTTAACTACAGTTTCAGTTTCTTTTATGGACATAGGGTTACTTAGGTTATCGGTTTCTTCTTGTGTGAGCTTTGGTATTTTGTGTCTTTTAAGAAATTTGTCTAAATATTAATTGTGTTAAGACTGACCAGTGGGTTTAAGGGGATTATTTGGCCTGCTCCTTCTATTACAGATTTCTCCATGAATGTTTACCAAATGATGGAGACCTATATTCATGATTTTATTAGAGATTGCAAAAATAATGTTTCCCTAGTCCTACCATTCCTTCTATGTCTATTATCTAGAATTCGTCTATAAGGAAGAGTTTTCTCTCACCAACTATTTACTTAGCTGGAGTATAATTAGTACAGGTAAGGTAGGGTCCATGCTTGAGTCTTTCCCTTTATAGAATAGTGATTAATGCTCTAACAGTCTTCAAGATGACTTAGAGGGTTTTTTTTTTTTTTTTTTTTGGGTTGGGGGTAGTGTTATTGTGAACTCATGGAGTCTATTTTCAGTCATTATTCCTTTTATAATCATGATGATGTGCAAATTGGCCTGTCATTAGTCATCTTCTTCTGTGTTCTTTTGACGTGACTCTAGCCATCTTTGGTAGCTTGCTTGTGTTCTTACATGACAAGACACCTCAAGGTCATAGTACCTGTTTGTTGCACAGATATGGAATTATCCTTTTTCCCTAGGAGCTCTGGTTCCTTTTAGTTTCCACCACACTGTGGTATTTAGAAGCCAAAATCTGGATCCTGGAGATGCACCTTGCTCCCAGGTTATTAATCCTTTTAGGGTTTTCAGCAGGCAGGTCTAAGAAGTTTGTAGATTTTCTAATTGTAAAGAAATAAATCATGTATACATTTAAAGGTTTTAAGGATTTTAATTAGCTCCTTTGATTATTCTTGTATCTCTTTTCTCATGCTGAAAGTCTTTGTTCCAAACAACGTCAAAATAATTTTAAAAAATGTTGATACTGTTAACTAGTAATGAACCCACTGAATGTTCTTTTAATTAAGATTTTTTTGTTCTTTATGGGCTTAAGATAGATCATCCCAGAGGGTTAAATCACCTAAAGTAAGTATTCTCTGTGTGGCTATAATACCACGTAGACATAAAATAAGAATGATTTGTTTCAGTTGATTATTTTTCAGGATTGCTTTGCTTCTATTTTTATATTAAAAAATTTACAGCCCACATTTACATGGTTTACAGTTGAAACTATAAACCAAGGAAATTCAAAGAGGTTTACGGTTTACTTCTATCCTTATCCTTCATACTTGCTCGCTCCCTGTCTCCAAGGTGACCCTTCATATCAGCCTATAGCTTATTCCATAAATGCTCTTTTCTGAATATATATTGCTATATACTAATGTATTTATATTTCTTCCAGTTGTCTTAAAAGCGGCATACTATCATATAAGTTCCTTGCTTTTTTCCCATTAGTAATATATTCTGGAGATTACTCTTCAGAATGACAGAGAGATCTTTCTCACTGTCTCTTTTTACACCAGCTGTAGGTAGGTAGTTTGTTAACAGTTTCTTTCTGTGGTTTCTAGTCTTTGCTATTACAGGTAGTGGAATAATAAATGGCCTTGTTCACACATCCTTTTATGTTTTGCCAGCATATATTTGGAATATTTCCTTACGAATAGGACTGCTAGATTAGCAGGCAACCATACATATAATTTTGAAAGGCACTGACAAATACCCCTTTATGAGGGGTTATTTCTAAGTGAATAGGGATAGGCAGTTAATAAAATGTTTTATTACTAGGGATGTTTGTTCTAGGTTGTATTATGTGTTCATTTAAGGCATTTTGGTTAGGGAACTTTCTATTCCTAAATTAGTTGGATTTTTTAATTTAAATTGAGAATGGTTGTTAAATGTTGTCAAAGGCATGTTTGGGCAACTATTGATGATCATATGGTTCTGTCTCCTTTATGCTGTTAATGTAGCAAATTCCCTCAGTGTATCTTCTAATGGTAAACACCCCGACATAAGCTTCTCCTGTGGTGCCTGTGCCTATTTTTAAGCTCCTGGTTTCAGTTTTTTGGTATTTAGTCTTCTTCCATTTACACTCACAGATTAGAATATTTATAGTTTCATTTTTTAACATGTTTCTGATGTGCTTATAATGAGACTTTCTACTTTTCATTGAATCATTTTTTAGTATTTATATAATTTCCTAGACAATTACCTATTTAGGTTTGTTTTGATCTTTTTCAAGCTTCTTGAGTTGGCTGCTTAGGTTGTTTAATTTCCAGGGTTTCTACTTTTTCTTCGGTGTGCTTTCTGCTGTGCCCAGAATCTTGGAGTCTCTGAATCAGGAAGGAACTGAAAGGTGATCTCGGGCTTGAGTTTGTCCTGCAGCCTCTGACCTGGGCCCTGCCCCAGGAATAGCCCTCCCAGTTTTATGAAGGGGTGAAAATTCTGCCTTTCTTGTCTCTACTTCAGCCCTTCTAACTTTATTGTTATTTGAAATAGAGAATAAAATCTACTCTCTCTTTCTGGTATGTACTATTGAGGGTGCTACTAATGTGCCACATTCTGTACCCAGGGGACAAACCCTTGTGCCCTCTGGATGGTGGTAGTGGAGCACTTGATCTGTCTCTGTCTGGGGCGCCCCCCCTTATGTCCTCAAGTGCCCTCTCACTTCCTGCCTTTCTTATCTAACAGGATCTACACTCTCCTTGAGTGCCTACTGTATCCTCCAGGGATTAGGTCTGTTAGGTCCTATCTGTCTTAGGGGCGACCTTCAGAGGAGAGGACTCAGCGTCTCCTAGTTCTAAACAGCATAACCTTGATTAAGCTTTGCATGCATTCCTTATACCCCAGCTGTGCCCTTAATAAGGAAGACGGTGTGTAGAGAACACTTGTGAGGGCTCATGGCTCATGGGTTCTTGCTGCATGGTTTATATTTATATGAAAGATTCAATTACTCTTCATAGCGAGCTGGGGACTGGGGACTGGTTCCTTTCCTGTGCTTTTGGTGAGGTGGCCAGAGTGGCCGTGTAGGTCCATCCTCCAAGTCCCCGCAGCTCTTGCTAGGCCATGGTCTTACACCTGCATGGGCCAGTCTCCCGAGCACTGGTCTCAGACACTAGGCCATGCCCGGTACTTTTTCAGTGACATGCTTCTAGAATCTACATTGCTGTGCGTGTGACTCGTGTGTCTTTTCATTTATTATTATTATTTTTTAGTGTTTCATTTATTTCTGAGAGAGAGAGAGAGCATGGGCAGGGGAGAGTCAGAGAGAGAGGGAGAGAATCTGAAGCAGGCTCCAGGCTCTGAGCTGGCTGTCAGCACAGAGCCCAATGCGGGGCTTGAACCCGTGAACCGCGAGATCATGACCTGAGCAGAAGTTGGATGCTTAACCACTGAGCCACCCAGGCGCCCCTCGTGTGTCTTTTCAAAGTGTTGGCATCACAGGGGTGGTCAGGAAGGGCCCTTCGTGCAGACTGGCGGGAGCAGCCTTGAACCGCTTCCTCTTAATGCCTGTAACCTGC